TACCTAATGTCTCTACAGTCAGTGGCGCCCGAACTAAAAAGAGTGGTGGATGATGATGCTCCACACCCAGGAATTGGCGATTGGGTCCCCTAAAACTCCAGTTGCCCTTTAAAGGGGGGGTATATAAGGTATTTCTCCCGCCTTCTAAGTGTGCCTTCGTGGTGTAGTGGTCTGCACGCTGGGCCAGAGGTCCGCGGTTCGATTCCCGGCGAAGGCGTTGCTCATTCAAAATCCTAATGTCTCTACAGTTCCAAGGCCGGATTTACGTATAAGCTATACAAGAAAAGAAAGCAGCTATATTATGACTACATAATATAGCTGCTTTCTGAAATAGTGATGAGAACGTTTTTGTTGCCACAAATATTTTTGTAATTTAATCCGCTTTGTGACAAAATTTTTCGTCACGTTTCCACCTTGCGCGCACGATATTTTAAAAATGGCTAATGGTGCATACTTGAAAGTTGGATGGAATTCTTTATATGGAGCACCTATTCTTTTAACTGAATTCAAAATCTGATGAATATTTTTATATTCAAAAAATTTTATGCAGTGAAAACATTATAGAGGTTTTTTAATAAAATACATTTTATAAACTCGACTCCAAAACAAAATAAAAATTTAACATGAAATTCTTAGAATTTTTTGGTTCACAGTAGTTTCCAAATGTTATAAAAGCTATATATTAAATATGGAATTAAATTATGCAACAGAATGTTTTAAACTGTGCGCGCAAGGTGGAAACATGACGAAAACTTTTATCAAAAAGCGGATTAAATTATAAAAATATTTGTGGCAACAGAAACTTTCTGATCACTATTTCATAAAACAGCTATATTATGTAGTCATCTGTAAAAAGTTGGAAGTACATGCTTTTAAAATAAATAAGTTATCCCAATTCTTGCAACAGTCACCTATTCGAAAATCTTATGGGTTTTAAGGTGTACGAGTCCCCTTAAGGCCTTATTAAGTCTAAATCTGGCTACTACTGAGATTTCAGGGTATCTATTAAGGAAAATGATTTCAACAAAGACTTCCTACAAGACCGTGGCTAGTATTTTCATTACAAGTAGGAGAAACCACGAAACTCCAAGTGCGAAACGAAACTCCCTCGCAATCAGCCCGCTGTACTTCCATGAAAGAACCCGGATGAAATAATTTTCCGTATTTCTCCCCTTTATCGTCGTTATTAGCCTTCGCTAAAAACTGAAACCGTCTTTAAAAGAGTAATTTTCCTCCAGGTACTGAGAATAACAACAATCATAATATTTTATCTTTTTGTGTTACAGTTACTTAATAGTAGCAAGTTGTTAATTAGTTACTTAATATAAATCAAGTTGCTTACGATTTCCTTGAAGAGGACAAGCTATACTTGGTTATAAACAAGACAAAGTATTCTATTCTTTGTAAACTAAGACAAAATGCTCTATGCCTTGTCATGATTTTTATATAGAATGGCAATGGTAATATCTTGTTTTGTATAGAATAGTTACTTAGAATCCAAACTTATAATCGTAATTTGGCTTAAAGTAGAAACTAAATCTATCTTTAGAAAATTTTTATCTTAGAAAATTTAGAATTTTTCCTGCACTTGAGAATAATCTGATTTATGTAAGCTATAATTAATTGCTTATTTTGAGGGGAAAATTGGCGTAATGGCAAACTGCACATTCAGTTGATCAATGTTAAACGAATTTCGCATACTGCGCATACCCAGAAGAGATTTTGGCGTAATTACGGCTCTGGTACAATTTTAAAAGAAGATAAATACCGTGTGTGGTTGATATTCTGTTATCTGGGCGTAAACAGTTCGGGGTTTTAAAACTTGTTAGGTTGCAAGTTCCTTTATTACTTAGAGGATAACTATCGATTGTAAACTACTCAAATTTTCGTTTAAGAATGATTACAAAACAGGAAACATTACAGGATATGTTAGCTGAATCTTTATTGAACATACTTGTGAGGAATAAAAGCAATTGTGTATGGTAAATAACTATATGGTCCATTCGTATATACTTTAACAAATTAAAGAATAAATCCAGTTTAAATGACTGAATTAAAAAGGAAATTATTATAAATAACTGATATTAAATATAACGTTTATGAACAAAATAAACCAAAATGAAATGAAACAGAAGCAAATGCATTAAGCACAAATAAATTTCGGTATTATTGAAATCGTAAATAGTCGATAAGACCTACACGATGAACAGGCTTGTGTAATGGTTGCTTATGCTTAGTCGCCAGTATTTTCTACCACGTCAACGGTACACCACTGAGCATGCGCAGTAAATGAAATTCGTTAACGTTGATCAACTCAATGTGCGGTTTGCCATTACGCGAAAAATTGCTTGTGATTTTCATTAACAAGATGAGATATTAGTAATGTAAATAGCACAAAGCATTCTCTTCCGACTTCAAAATTAAATTGCTTTTATGTTAAGAGAATTTCGAAAATATTTTTCAAAATTTTAAATGATAACGTTGTGTTTTACGGCGATAACCAATTGTTTTACTTTTTTCTCTATGGCAACACAATAAAAAATTTCAAAATGATAATAACCCGAAAAAAGTTTCCTCCGAGCTGGTGTTAACTCGTATAAGTAAAATTACCTTAGCGTTTTTACTTTTCATACATATGATGAATGAAGCAATTGATATGCAAGACTCACAGATTGATTAACATAAAGCAATATGCATGTTCCAAACAAAATCATAATACAGCTGTAGAGTCATTAGGTTTATCGAAGCAGGAAACATGAAAAATGCACAATGCTTTCCCCAGGATTCGAACTCCTCACCTCACAACCGCTAGCCGAACGTGCTTCCAATTACACCACGAAGACATATACTGAGAAGGGAGAAAATACCTTACAATCTCCCCCACATAAAGGATGACTGGTAGGCGGAGACACAATTGAGATCCTAGGGGTGACGAAGTTGGTGCCACTTGTAGAATCACTAGGTTCGTCGCAGCAGCAAGCATGGAAAATGTATAATACTTTCTTCAGGGTTCGAAATATGGACATTCCAAATGTTCTTTACAGCCGGGTGTGCTTGCAATTACACCTCAAAGGTACGCGATATGGAGGAAGATAATGCATTACCCAGTGCCTTTCTAATAATTTCATGGAATAAAGTACTTGTTTAAAGCATAAGAAGGAATACCTATCACGAATTTATAATTCAGAAATATTCTATTGGATGAATTTAACTTTTTTATTATTTAAATATTAATTACATATTATTAGCCTAAAAAGACATTTTATCCAGAAGGACTATTAATTTCGTTGTGGCACTTTGCGTCGATTCACTACAAGCGTTGTTTCACTTTTCAGATTGTTGCCACTAAATATTAGAGCCCTGCATTATATTTAGAGAAATTAAATAATGAAGAAGCTGCATAAATGTATGTACGTTTCTCGCAATGTGTTAAAACAACGGTACCTAGAGCCATCCAAGTTTGAATAACGTAATCGTCCTGCGAATATGGGCATGTCGAAGCCCAAATTTGAAATTTGGAATTTGTTTTATTACCGATTTCATATTTTGTAAAACTTTAACCAATTTTTGCTTAACAAACTTAACGATTTCAAAGCGAAAAATGGCAATACTGTACGGGGGGAAAAATTATCTGCAGCGCTCGAGTCTCTGCATAGGAAATTCTAAAGATATGCTATTTTAAATTATTTTGTGATACTGCTGTTGAATTGAATTTTATGGTTAAGTGCGAAGAACATGATATTTAATAAATAAAGGTAACACCCAAAATGTTAAAAAAACTTCCCTTTGGACGTAATTTAAAATCTTTCAGATTTTTTTTATTTTCCTTTTCTTTTTATCATCTATTTTTAGATTAGCTATCTATTTATATGCCATATCTCGAGAAGTGCTACTTCTAAAACTACGACTTCTAAGAAAGCCAAAATTACTGTATAATTCTGAATATAAGCTGATCCCTATATAAGCCAAGAGGTATCTATTTATATTTTTGAGCTCCCTCGCCGTTCATTGAAGAACAGTGCGGAGAGAAAATTTTAAACCCTGCGCCAAAAATTTTAAACCTGCGTGAAAAATTGATCCGTCAACCGCTTAGTATGCAGCCATAAGGTTTGAGGTATGCGCGAGTTAAGCGTGCCTACAAAAGTATAGATAACGTTACCTAGAAAAATAGTGATCTTAATTGAGATAGGCATTTAACATTAAGAATGATATTTAATAAGGAAAAGTAATATACATACATAATAATGGCTTTAAGGAAGCGTACAGTCCCAACACAGCTCAAAGCTACATATCACGTGGAAGGCACAAGACGAGTTGTTTCACAGACGCACACACACAGACTGAAGTTGTTACCCAGAACTGCCGGGGAAAATTCTTCTCTTCCCGTCAGCCCGTAGGGTAGTCAAGCAGGTTTACTGTTTCGCCAATTGGCGCTTTTCTCCAGAGGTTTTGAGTCTATATCGCCTGTTTGTCGCTGCCGCTACATACTCCCTCCGCAGTGTCAACGAAATGTGACATACCGACGTGGGGGTGGATTAATCGTCCAGAACGGGGGATACCAATGTCCGAAGGTTTTTTTACACTCTTTCGATTTCCTCGAGGTCTGTCCCTACTTTGATGGCTTAAGAAACAATAAAAATATTGATTTTGAAAAATCCCTTTTTATGCTATAAAGATTTCGCACAATTATGTAACTCTGTGATGAAATTTATTGACGGTGAGCGCCGGACAGTGGGAATCAGTGTATGATATTTGCATTTTATTGCCATCACTAATTGGTATACTTTAATAATTTGTTGTTACCATTGTTTGTGCTTGTTATTCGCTTTTTTGTTTTTGTCTTTAGTGTCTGCTCTCGTCTAAATGTTTGTATTTGTTCCTTTTCTTCACTTTTATGCTTATAATTATTATTTAAACATGATTATTCTCATTTAGATATTTTATGTTTTATTTTTTCATTTGTTGAAATGGGCATGGCCTGTCATGACCATAAGACCAACTTGTTTGGTTAGGCGGGTCGGGCTGTGCCCGCTACTGATATTGATACCGATACTCTTTGGAACAACTTGTGAAGAGCCCATGGTTACAAAAGCAGGTTTCAATCTATCTATGGCGATTGTTTGCTTTGTCCCTTTTATTTCGAGATCAAACGTTTTATCTCGTCTTTCTAGCACTTTAAATGGTCCATCATAGAGAGCTTGCAGTGGTTTTCGAACTCCGTCGTGTCGAACAAACACATGCGTGGATTCGTGAAGCCGTGGATGAATGAAACAGGTTCGCTGACCGTGGCTAGAAGTCGTAGTCCGGCGGACACTGGCAAAATGGGATTTTATATCCTCCACAAACTGTTTGGGGGACGCGTCCACAGGTGTCGAATTGAAAAATTCTTCTGGAAGACGAATCGTCTTTCCATACACAAGTTCAGAAGTGGTTGCTCCTATGTCCTCTTTGAGAGCGGAGCGGAAACCCATCAGAAGCGTTGGAAGAGCCGATACCCAGTTACTGGTATCATAAGCTTTTACGGCAGCTTTCAAAGGACGGTGGAATTCATCGATAAGTCCATTCGCCTGTGGATGGTACGGAGGCGTCCTAATTCTCTTGATTCCCAATAATTGGGAAAGGGCTCGAAATAAGCCGCTTTCAAACTGTCGCCCTTGGTCAGTAGTAATAACAGCTGGACAACCAAATCGTGTAATCCAGCGGTCATAGAGGAGCTTGTGCTATTGTGCATGCAGTTATGTCTGGTATGGGTACTGCTTCGGGCCATTTAGTAAACCTATCTATCATAGTTAAACAGTAATAATTATTTTGAGAAGGAGGTAGCGGATCAACGAGGTCAATGTGGACGTGATCAAACCTCTGTGTTTGCTCTGGAAACTTCATTAACGGTGTTCTAGTATTTCGGCTTACTTTTGCTTTCCCTGACATGGAATGCACTGTCGTGCCCGTTGTGCGTAATCTTTACGGATGGAAGACCAAACAAACCGAGAACATATTAACTTCGTTGATGCACGAATGCCGGGGTGAGACAAATTGTGCAATGTGGCAAAAACGTTCTCACGGAATGCCGGGGGAATGTAAGGGCGGGCGGTACCTGTTGACAAATCACAATATATTGGTAAACTACAATTAGGTAAGGTAACTTTTTTGAGTTGCAGAACTTTTGAATCTTTAAGTAAAGTTTGTAATTCTGGATCAATTTGTTGCATTTTAGCAATTTCCTCATAGTCGATAGGGTTAGGCATGCTTATCGCTTCTATGCGCGAAAGTGCGTCCGCGGCGATATTATCCGAACCTTTTATATGGTATATTTCAGTGGTGAATTGTGAGATAAAGTCTAACTGCCTAGCCTGACGAGGTGAACACTTATCCAAACGCTGTCGGAATGCATACGTAAGCGGTTTGTGATCGGTGATTAAAGAAAAGTTCCGTGCTTCCAACATATACTTAAAATGCCTAATGGCAGCATAAGCTGCCAATAGCTCCCGACCATACACACTATAGTTCCTTTCTGCTTGCAAAAGCTTTCGTGAGAAAAATGCGAGAGGCTGTAAGTTTCCATCAACTGTTTGTGATAGCGTTCCGCCTATCGCGAAGTCTGACGCATCAACCGGTAAAACCAACTGGGCATCTTTCTTCGGATGTGCTAAAAGAACCGCATTCGCGATTAACTGTTTACACTTTTGAAATTCATTATGCGCTTCCTCAGACAAATTCAGGGTTGTCTTATCATTTTTCTTAGCCCCTGTTAAATATGAAGTTAAATGTATTTGATTATGGGCTACGTTGGGTAAAAATCGACGGTAAAAATTTAAAAATCCTAAAAATCTTTGCAAATCTTTTACCGTTTTAGGAAGTGGGTAGTTGAGTATCGGTTCAACTTCGTTCGTCAGAGGTTTGGTCCCATCTTTATTAATTAAATGTCCTAAGAAAGATATTTCGGAACGCCAAAAACACATTTCGAAGCGTTTATTGTCTATGTAGTTAATCTTTCAAAAACAGTACGTAAGTGAGATTTATGATCATCTTCTGCATCACTAAATATCAAAATATCATCTAAGTAGGCATAGGCAAATTTTAGACCTCCAAGAATTTCGTTCATAAACCTTTGAAAGGTTTGAGCTGCTCCGCACAGTCCGAAATTTAAAAACGGAAATTCAAAAAGACCAAATGGGGTGCAAACTGCAGTTTTCGGTATATGATCTGGATGAACTGGTATATGATGATATGCCCGAACGATATCAATTTTTGAAAAAATTTTCTTTCCGCTGTGTGTATTATTAAAATCTTGTAAATGCGGGATAGGATAGCTACCGGGTTCGGTACACGCGTTTAATTTTCGGTAGTCTCCTACTGGCCGTATATTGCCCGAACTTTTAGAAACTACATGAAGAGGTGATGACCATGCCGATTTTGATGGCCTTCAAATACCTTGATCCATCATAAATCGAAATTCTTTTTTTACTGCTTCGTATAACTTAGGGCTTAACCTACGCGGTTTACTATGCACGGGAGGACCGTTTGTTTCTATGTAATGAACCGTACTATGCATTACTCTGCCCAAATCAGATTTTAACTTCAGTAAATCCGGAAAGTCTTTCAAGATTCTGTGATACGGTGAATCACCCGATATTAGCTTTACCGAAAAATAATTTTCAAAATAGGAAAGAAAACCAATTCGAGTTAATTTCGTAGTATTATCGATAAGCCTACCTCGTTTTAAATCGATTAAAAGATCAAAATGTTTTAAAAAATCGGCTCCTATTTATAGGCACTGGTACATCGGCGATTAAAAACTTCCAAGAAAAGTTTCGTCTAAGTCCTAAATTCACATTTAACAATTTTGTTCCATACGTAGAAATTCTGGAATTATTCGTGGCAAATAATTGTAACGAATCAGGATACATTTTCTTAAACTTAGAAGTCGTTGGCACACATGAGACATCCGAACCCGAATCAATCCAAAATTTTAAATTTAATCTGTTATCGTAAACATGTAAACCACATGAATGCGCGACTGCCGACGAGTTTCGATCGACAGCCGCTACTTCTAGTTTTCCTGGGCCGTTGTATTCTGAGAAAAAGAACAAGGTGCTCGACATTTTCGTGCGTTATTACCAAATCGCGAAAATTGCTAACGCGCTATCGAGAATGCCCACGTGAAAAACTACGTGGTCTGTTATGTGGATCCCGAGGGAATTTATTCCTCGTTTTTTCGCGGGAGAGTCGCTCGACCTGTTTACTTAGAGCAGAAATTTCACTCCTTAAGGTCTTAAGCTATTCGAAGGGGCCACAAGAATCGTTCGGATCGCTGGGGAAACTCGTCGAAGCTGTCTGGACAGCGAACACGCTGTGGCTCATTGGCGTGCGCACTTCGGCTATCTTGTCAGCCATTTTTGCTAAATTATCTAAGGATTCAGAACTTACTGATAAAATGGCATGCACCTCGGAAGGTAACCTTTGCAGCCATAATGATTTTAAAAATTCGTCAGTTATACATTTTCCACCCAATTCTCTCATTTTTCTCACTAAATGAGATGGTTTGTCATCCCCTAAATGCAATTCCGAAAGAAGTCTGCGTATTTGTTCGTTTTCCGAATCCGAAAATTCCGCTATTAACCTAGCTTTTGGGGCATTATATTTTTCCGTCGCGGGGGGATTAAATAAGATATCCGATACTGCAGAAAGAGTTTCGGGGTCTATGGAAGAAATCACGTGGTTATATTTCGTAATATCGTTACTAATCTTTGCTAGAGCAAAGTTACTTTCAACTTGAATAAACCAAAGTTTAACATTATTTTTCCATAAAGGGGGAATTTTAACCGCCACGTGTGAGATTTGTGGCTCCTGTGCCACCACATTCGATTCGTCGTTGGTTTGGCCTTCCGATCCTGGCATGGTTAACAATTATAAATATATCGTAAATCGTTAACTTAATGTTTTGCACTATGCTTTAGGACTTACGTATCAGTTTAGAATAAAATAATGAAGTCATTCAATATCTCAATAAAATTGCGAACACCAATATTACACAAAGATCAATTTTAAACAATGAATAATTAAATTTAAATTAAAACTATAATTTTAGAGCAAATATATCACAAAAGCACATTAAGACCAATCACAGATAAGGAAAAAAAATTTAACCTTATACCTGTAAATCCTTCTTAACAGTGTGATAAACCACGTGTAATCCCTACCATAAAATGAGAAAGAAATTAAGGAAAATAAAGAGGATGGAGCAGTTATCACTCAGAAAAAAGAGCATTCTCATCAAAATAAGGCATATTTTTAGTTTTATAAGAAAGATTGAGACAGATAGCCATTAGGAATCTGAAATAGAAGGAGCGAGAGACAGGGTCACCAGTGAGGTACGCGTGCCTACAAAAGTATAGATAACCTTACGTACAAAAATAGCGATCTTAATTGAGGTAGGCATTTAACATTAAGAATGAGATTTAATAAGGAGAAATAATATACATACATAATAATGGCTTAAGGAAGCGTACAGTCCCAACACAGCTCAAAGTTACATATCACGTGGAAGGCACAAGACGAGTTGTTTCACAGACGCGCACACACAGACTAAAGTTGTTACCCAGAACTGCCGAGGAAAATTCTTCTCTTCCCGTCAGCCCGTAGGATAGTCAAGTAGGTTTACTGTTTCGCCAATTGGCGCTTTTCTCCAGAGTTTTTGAGTCTGTATCCCCTGTTTGGCGCTGCCGCTACAGGTTGAAGGCATGCGGATGAACCGCTCTCGATTGGAAAGTTTGAAAACATCATATGGACCTTACAGTTCAACTGACGTAAAGTATGTAAAGCCATACAATAATATAGCAAGGAAGGGAAATCTATATACCATATGCATGATATTTTTCTTGTTTTTTTTTAAACTCCTTAAAAAATATATATATATGATGTACCAGCTTTTGTCCGGCATAAACAGAATGGTGAAGAATCATAAATGTAGTCGTAGCTTAAATTATCAGACGATAAGTTTAAAAAACAGGATCCATTTATTATTATTCAGGAGAAAATAGCAGTTACAAAAATCAGATATCCGGAGTAAATAAAAAGAATTACTAATAACTTTTTGTATGAAGTTTACTGCATCGTGACATTTAAGAAAAAGCCCCGATATTCCTTTTGCGAGTCCTTTTACAGCCTCTGGAAAGGCGGAGCTTCCAAGAAATGACGTCAACCATTCCAGTTCGCATTAAATACTTCCAGAACATTCTAAAACTGTACGTGTAGAAAAGGCGGGAAAAACAACTTGACTACAGGGCTGTGGATTTAATTCCACGTACTTTCAAATAAGAGAACGTCGCCATTAAAAATGAAAAGAACATACAGTTAGAATTTAAGTGTAATCTTGATTATGGAATTTTATTATTACATATATATACTTTAAAAATAATTCTACGTTAATTAGGATTCACTCTTTTAAAATAATTCTATGTTAATTAGGATTCACTCTTTTAAAATAATTCTACGTTAATTAGGATTCACTCTTTTAAAATAATTCTACGTTAATTAGGATTCACTCTTTTAAAATAATTCTACGTTA